CCCCAAAACCCCAAAACCCCAAAACCCCATCATCTCATTATTTCTACTTATACAGAAGTGATGAAATTAATTCTAAATCAATCACAATTTAATTAGGATACAAATATTTGTCTTCTATAGATGAGTTAATATAGATGCTCAAGAATAAATCAATAAGATTCCCAATAGCACTCCAATAATCATCAATAGCTTTGTGATTTAATCAATAAACGCAGGATAATATTCCTTTTGTTTCTGCTCTCTGGGAAGCAATTCGTTATTCAAATCGTTATTAAGTTGGTTATTAATGAATATATTATTTTTTATTTGAAATGGCGATCTGTACTCTTTCAAGTCAACTTACACGCCATTTCTAGCGATTGGTGATTTTAAATGGCCTTTCAACTACTATTCCTTTGCTAATTGTGCAGGTAATTTGCTTCTGATTCTATTTTAGTTTAAAGGCGACAACTCATTGGCTAGACATACTGCCTATTATTTATTGGGCTATTGATTCAATTAAGGTAATTAATTTCTTTTGTGAGGTAAGTTATGATTTTACTGCCTAATTCTTGTTATTCTCTAATCTATTTTCTTAGCCAAGTATTGATTGTAGATTTTGTAGAAATTTAATGAATTTCTGGTATTCAACTCTATTGTAGCTCTAACTGGATCTTAAAAATCACTATTAGTCCCTATCATTCCTCCTTTCTCTAGAATATTACTTTATCTAAGTAAATCAAGCCTCTATGACTTCAAGAATGGATGGTTAAGTAAAAAATCTACTGATTTTCATTTGAAACTATCGAACTTTAAGCAGTTATTTAAAAAATCTATACACTCGATTGAAACATTAACATCTCTTGGTATTTTATAAGCTCCAGCTTTTAAATTTTCTTTTAGCTCATCAATTGTTTTGCCTTTGAAAGGAAATGTCCCAGTCAGCAAATTAAACAGTAAAGTACCAAGGGACCATACGTCTACTTTTAAATTATAATAATTTCCTTGAATGACTTCAGGTGCCATGCACACTGGAGTGCCGCACATTGTGTGCGTGAATTAATTTTGATCAGTAAGAGACTTAGCCAATCCTAAATCACCAACTTTGAATTCAAAATCTTCCACTTTAATAAGATTATCGAATTTTTCATCCTTTCCTCCCTCAAATCTCACTTTCAATCTATTATTAATTTCTATGAATGAATCCCATTTTTTCTTAACTAATATATTGTCCATCTTGATATCTCTGTGAACAACATTATTTTGCTATAGATACTTCATGCCTTATAGAATTTGAGAAATTATGTATCTCGATTGATTTTCATTGACTCTATGCTTCTAATTTGGTTCATAAAATGTTTGATGCTTATAGAGTTTCTTTACAAATGCAGTTAGGTCACCTTAATCGCAGAAATCTGTAATTAGATACATATTATTTTTAGTCTTGAGAACTGTGTGCAGTTTGATAATATTTGGATGAGAAAGTTTACTCAGAATCTCACACTCGCTCTCTAGATCAGATATGTCATGCTAAGAATTCAGCTTAATTACTTTGCATGCCAATAATTCTACTTCATTTGGCTCATAATCTTCTCTATTTTCCTATTAAGGTATTGCTTTCTTAACTAGGTGAACTGAACCAAATTAGCCTTTTCCGATCTCGTTACACAAGTAATAATCTCCTATTCTTTTAGTTATTTGCATTTTAAATCTGTTATAATAACGACAATTTAAAAAGAAATATTCATGACTTAGGGGTTTTGGGGTTTTGGGGTTTTGGGG